GAAGGAAGGAAGGAAGGAAGGAAGGAAGGAAGGAAGGAAGGAAGGAAGGAAGGAAGGAAGGAAGGAAGGAAAAGTTACTGATGAGTTGACCCCAACTCAAGGGACCCCCGTGTGTCAAAGTGGTGGTGGTTGCCAGCTGGTGGACACATTGCTGTGAATAGTGGCAGTCCGGTGGACCCCAGCTTGTAGTGACCCCACTTGTACACAACGGAACTGCCCCCACAAGGTTTTCAAGGTTGTGACCTGACAGAAGCCAATGGCCAGACCAGCCATCCGAGGCCTCTCTGGGTGGGCTTGAACTAACAACCCTTTCCACTAGTAGGTGAGCACTTAAATGTTTGCACGATCCAGGGATGCCTCTTACACACAGCAACCTTATAGATCCCCACAAACTGTGACTCAGTCCTGCCCCATCTTTGCCATCATGGGCATGTTTCAGTCCATGGTGGTGCCTATTGTGTTGATCTAGCTCATTGAGGGTTTCTATCTTTTTCACTGACTCCCGACTTTACAGAACACGAGGTCCTGTTCTACCAAATGGTGTTTCCTGATGGACCGCCAGTGTCCAAGTCTCACCCTCGCACTTCGTCTAAGGGGCCTTGGTTGTACGTCTTCTAGCACTGATTTGTGTATCCTTCTGGGAGTCCACAATATATTCAATACTTTTTTTTTTGCCAACTGAAAAATTAAATTACAATGTGTCAGAGTAGATGTCCTTCAGTAAGCAGATATTTTCCTTTACTGAGACTAAGAACAGGTAAATCGAGGCACTTGACTAAATAAAATGGTTGGTTTAGGGTCTTGTCTGTCTTTTGAGAGTGCACAGCCCCCGTTTACTCTTCACAGCCTGTAACTAGAAGAACAATGAAAACAGAGATATGGTTTCCCTGCATTTAAGCTGGGGGGATGTCAATAAGCGAGGGATTATCAAAACCCATGTTGCCAGGCAGCTTCAAAAATTACTTCTTTTGTGATCAGAATGTTTAAAATGTCTCAGAGAAAAGGCTTGTTGCCGATTCTTACAAAACCTACCAGCAACTACCTACAAGAAAGATTTCTCTTGAACAAGTTGTTTCCATGGAAACCCTCCACATCCCACCTCTTACTACACACACTGTAACCAATCTGAAAAGTACACAGATGGACTTTAAACCAATCTGCTTCTACTCACCACTTCCAGGAGGATGTTTAAGTGCTTGAAAGACTCTTTGTTGAGATCCACCCAGAACATGTACTGAGCTATGTAATTTTCTAATGCTGACCTAAGCTTTAACCTCAGATTAAAATGATCTACTTTGGGATATTTTTTCTAATCCGTTCCATATGTGTCAATTGTTCCATCGTTTTGTAATTGTTGGTTGGTTATACTTTGTGTGGCTAACGTCTCCCTGATAGAAACTATATATATAACTATATATAGTTTTATATATATATATGTGTATATATATATATATAAATTGTTTTATTAGGGGCTCATACAACTCTTATCACAATCCATACATCAATAGTGTAAAGCACATTTGTACATTCATTGTCCTCATCATTCTCAAAACATTTGCTCTCCACTTAAGCCCCTGGCATCAGCTCCTCATTTACCCCCTCCCTCCCCGCTCCCTGCTCCCTCATGAACCCTTGACAATTTAGAAAATATTATTTTATCATATCTTGCCCTGTCCGACATCTCCCTTCACCCACTTTTCTGTTGTCCGTCCCCCAGAGAGGAGGTCACATGTAGATCCTTGTAATCAGTTCCCCCTTTCCAACCCACCCTCCCTCCACCCTCCCAGTATCGCCACTCAAACCACTGGTCTTGAAGGGTTCATCCGCCCTGGATTCTCAGTGTTTCCAATTCCTATCTGTACCAGTGTACATCCTCTGGTACATCCTCTGGTCTAGCCAGACTTGCAAGGTAGAATTCAGATCATGATAGTTGGAGGTGGGGTATGGGGTATAGGAAGCATTTAGGAACTAGAAGAAAGTTGTATTTTTTCATCGTTGCTACATCGCACCCTAACTGGCTCGTCTCCTCCCCAAGACCCCTCTGCAAGGGGATCTTCAGTGGCCTACAAATGGGTTTTGGGTCTCCATTCTGCACTCACCCCCCCATGCACTATGATAAGATTTTTTTGTTCTGATGTTGCCTTATACCTGATCCCTTCGACACCTCGTGATCTCACAGGCTGGTGTGGTTCTTCCATGTGGGCTTTGTTGCTTTTGAGCTTGATGACTGCTTGTTTACCTTCAAGTATTTAAGACCCCAGACACTATACCTTTTGATAGCTGGGTACCATCAGCTTTCTTCACATTTGCTATGCACCCATTTGTCTGATTGAAACTATATTTTGATGTCAATAACTGCCTCTGGTTTAATTTCCAATGGTGACTGAAATATTGTAGCGGTGTTGGTAGGATTCTGGGCAGCTCACTGGCATCATCATCAGAGACTAGACTCAGCGTTACTGGGACTGACTGTGCCTTTAAGCTCAGTTGTCTCCTAGGTTCTCAGAGGTTGCAAAATCACGTTTAAATACCACATCTCTACGTTGCTGAATGCTGACAACTCTTTGAAATAAAAATTTATTAGAAAGTCCTTTTCTTTCTTTTTCTTCGTTTGGGTGTAATTTTCAGCCCATTTGCTGTCTAGCAAGGCAAAGTCCTTTTAGACTTGAGTGGCCTGCCATCTACTGGCCAATAGTTATCAATACAGCTGGACTTCTTTTCATCTCTCCAGGCCTATCAAGTGACCACACTGGCTTTTGTACAGGCAAGGAACACATCTTGCTTCCTGTTAGGTTGGGGGAGGCCACATCTAAAGAGTAAGCTGGGTCTCTTGTGTGCTTACCTGTGGAAGCACTCCGGTCGCACTGCTGTTTGGTTGTTGTTGGCATGTACTTACCACGGTCACCCTGGAGGATCAGTGGCCAATCCATGGCAGTTCTGGCCTAAGTAAACTCCCCTTTCTGCACCATCAATTGGAAATAAAAGGTTTCTGAATTAAATGAGCCCAATGGGAAGCATTTCTACTTGGCATTTTGAAGCTTCTACAAAAATACCAGGGAAGTAGACTAGCCCCTTGATAAGGTCCTATTTCTTTTTTTTTACATGAAAAGATGTTTAATATCATTAGCCATTAAAGAAATGCAAATTAAAACCACAATGACCTAACACTATAAACCTAGTCCAAAAACCAAAACCAAACTCACGGCCTCTCAGTCTGTTCTG